TAGAGCGTGGGCTCAGGTGGAGTTGCTACAGGTGAGGGATTCACCTAACTCAGCAGATACTGCAGGCAGGCCTGATGGCAGCTGGATGGCTTGGCTTCCTGGCCCTACGGGGCACATTAAGATTCAATCATGAGATTCCAGCAAAGGTAGTCAGTTACCATTCTTGTTGTATTTATGCAAACATAAGGCCAAACTGAATACAGTAGATAAATTAGTCTTGATTTGGCTTTTTGATAGCCATGAAGGAATTTTAAGAAGAAAAATCCTATTTCAATAGAAGTTGTTAAAGATAAAATGGTTTCTTTCCCTTCCACCGGACCATTCGTTATAGTTTGTCTCTGCCAGGTCACAAGCCCAGCTCCTTCTGTGCCCAGGACAGCAGGGAGCCTGAGTGGAAAGTGACCTCTAACCAGACACACTCGCTGCAATCACCCTCAGGAAGACAGCGAACCTCGCCGGACCCCTTGTAATCCTAGTTCAATTTGTCAAGAAGCGTCTGCCTCATGACTGAGCCGGAAGTTCCAAGACAAAGGGGGGAATGAAAGGGCGAGGGCTACGCCCTCCATCTTGCCCCAGGGCGAGGGCTACGCCCTCCATCTTACCCCGGATCCTCCATTTTTGAGCAGCCATGTGCTCAGCAAGGAGCTTCTTCCCAGAAGCCCAAGCCTCTGCTAGCCACACCCAGGACTTCTTTAAACTAACCAATGACAATACACTGACTTGCGCCTGGCCAATCGGCAGGACCCACAGTCCTTTCTCCTCCCCTTACTCCAACCCCCCTATAAAACCCCTCTTCGCACAGGGCTAGCTTGCTCTCTGCCGCTTGCCGCTGCATCGGTGAATGTGGTCGGGGAGCCGAGCTAGCTCGAATAAAGACTCTTTGCTTTTGCATCGGACTCGGCTGGCTCCCTGGTGGTCTATTGGGGATCTTAAAATCTGGGCATAACACCCCCAACTCTATTTTCTCTTGCTCTGCAATGGAAAGGAAGGGCCCGAAGTGTTTTTTATATTATTGTCATTTTTAGTTCTCAATCTGTTTTTTTCAATTTTGTTTTTAATTACAGTTGACACAGAATGCCATACTAGTTTTGGGTGTGCACATCATGATCCAGCGTTTCATGTCCTTTACGCAGCCATCTGGGCCGTGACCTTCAAGGGCCGACGTGGAGCCCTGGCCGTGGCATTGCCAGACAGTGCAGTCACAGAGCTGCACAGCACCCGGCGCAGCAGAGCAGCAACACGGTCTCTTGGGCAGCGACCCTTGACGCATGAACCTGTTTTTAAGTGACTGGGCCAGTGGATAAGAGCATGGATGGCGAGTGCTGGCAGGCAGTGGTCCACATCCTGCTGCAGGACAGGGCACCCTGAAACTCCTTCTGACAACAGGGGGATTGCTGGGGTCTGGGAGAGGCAGCAGGACGGGTGAAGGGGGGCTGAGAAAGAGCAGGCAGTTCAGGACCGACTAGAGTGTTGGGGAGCACAAAAGACTCTGTTGGAACCTTGGGAGGAGGAATCCTGAGAAAGGGGAGTGTGGAAGGCCTCCTGCCTGTTTATCAGAATTCCCTTAGGGGAGTGCTGGGGGCTAAGACCAGCAGTAGTTAGCATATTAATGTGATAGTCAGCAGGGCTCAAGGCAATTCCCTAACCTGATAACCCTTTTACTGTTAACCAAACTTTACCTTTGATATGCCTGTAGTGATTCCTAAAGGGCAAATGTGTATTCAAGTGAATAAAAAGCTGAGGGACCTGTTATGCCCAGATTTCAAGATCCCCAACAGACCAACAGGGAGCCAGCCAAGTCCAATGCAAAAGCAGAGAGTCCTTTATTATTATTACAGACCCAGGTCTGGCTCCCCTACCCTCCTTACTGACACAGCAGCAGGTGGCAGAGAGAGGCCTAGCCCAGCGTGAAGAGGAGTTTTATAGGGGGGTGGAGTCAGGGTAGGAGAGGGGACTGTGGGCCCTGCCGATTGGCCAGGCGCAAGTTGGTGTCTTGTTCCTGGGTGTGGCTAGCAGAGGCTTAGACTTCCGGGAAGGAGCTCCTTGCCAAGCACATGGCTGCCCCAAAATGGAGGACACAGGGTAAGATGGAGGGCATAGTCCTCGCCCTTTCATTCCCCCCTTTGTCTTGGAACTTCCGGCTCAATCATGAGACGGACTGCATTTCTATTTCACCGTTGTTAGAGGCTCGTACTGGGCACACAGAACTATCAACTGAACTATCCCTATACGCTTAACAAATGGTCCGGTGGAAGGGAAAGAAACCATTTTAGCTTTAACAACTTCTATTGAAATAGGATTTTTCTTCTTAAAATTCCTTCATGGCTATCAAAAAGCCA